CCTTAAAATCATGGATTTGCTACATGGCCCAGGAAAATCTTCATCTAGTGACGAACTCGGAAGCAGTACATAACATTATGTCTGTGACTCGGACCTAAACGTTTTGATCAACACGTGGTTCTGTAGGCTGCACTGATCCTTTGATCTTGTTTATTTATTCGTTTTAACGCTGTTGAGTCTATTCCATCTTCCTAGAAACCATATTTATACAATTGCTATTGCCTCCTCATTGGCTTCAACGACACAGACTGACTAAATATTGTACGCACTAATTTGGAAAAGATCAGTGTCTGGTCATCAACTGGACCAAAGGATACCATACAAATGGAACCAACTTCCCACTCTTCCTCAAGTTCACTAAGGTTAGTATGATAAATAAAGCGATTGATCATATAGGAATCGATGTAATTTATGCTTATTTGCAAAATTCTCGACAAGCGCTATATGTATGGAATAAATTGGTTATTTGTTTTAGCTTTTCAGTGAGATACTCCTTAAGGTAGTACTCAAGGTTGTAAACGGGAGGTTAGTTAAGTAATCACTTTTTTGTTTTGTGAATGAGGTTTCCAAAATTGGTTCATTTTTGCCTCTTAAGTTCGTAAATAGATTATAAGTGATGAAACCTTCTGTGGAGAGCTGAAGCGTTATATCTATGCTGCAACGCTCAACTGTATCAAATAAACCTTTCCCTCGACCAAACTAAGATGTATTCATGACACAACCTTCTGTCAAAGGGTCTTCACATAGGTTCGTCCTTAACAGATGCACAGTCTTTCGAATTTTCACTCATTTTCTAGCTGTGCTGATGTCATCGTAGTTGTCCTACTTTTTTCTACACATTTAGTTCAATATATTTGCTATGAAGAACATAATGGTCGCGGTTATTATCACTATCTCGCTTTTCAAGCAGACCAGGTAAAAGGACTTGTGTTGTCACATGTGGCACTGTAAAGCAGCGGTGTACAGTTAAAGCAGTCATGACTTATCTCCCATGTCACTCTTTTTGGGGTTCACCGAAGTCACACAGACGAGTAGCAGGACAAACCGTTTAAAAAAGCCCCCAAAGACCAGTAACTATTAAGCTTAGAGAAATCAATTTGGTTTATATTAGGTGGCAAGAATAATAGTTGTAATTCGAATGAAACCACAAACTACTGTCTTGATCCAAGAACGTACTGAAATTGAGTGTCGTCACTGTCTATTCTCCATATATGTTGTATTCCACTTTTGGTCACTAATTTGGTGTGTGTTTCAATCATTATTCATGCGTGCCGAGTTGGCGATAGCTACAGACGCACTGGAGACATTTTAGGCAATATTGCAGATTTTACGTCTATTACAATGATTTCAGGAGATTTGGGACTATTTTACTTTTTAAATTAAGAATATTTATTAAATACTTATACAGAGCAATCATAAGTCCTACTATTTCAATGGATTTTCGGTAACTCTAGGCACACTACAGACAAACTTCGGACAAACATTTCCCACATCCAAAGGTGCACTTTAAGAGATTGTAGCTCTTTACGTAAAGCTCTTCTTAGCGGGATAGCAGTCATCTTGACAACTAAGCATACCTTTAAGAATATCTAATCTATAAAAGCATGCGGATATCTCCTTTTGAAATGTTTGTACTCTTTTTTTCGAGTAATCAAGCCATTTGCTAAATTGTAAAAGTGTTAGATAGCACCAAATAATTCAGCAAGTTCATGTTTGCCTGAAAGACCTAGCAACCTACCATGGCAGTCATAAACAGTTAATTCTCTCATCTGAACTTCCTGTTTATTTCTGTTATTTTCACGCTTTCTAATTCTTATTTGCACTTCTATGTTTTTTATTTGAACTTCCTGACTATTTTGTCATTACTAAGTTTTTAATCCTTAGTAGTGCAAAACGTCGATTCACTCAGTAATTATAATCCTATTATGTTTTTACCCTATCTTGCTGTTTATTTTGCTATTATTACGTCCTAATCTCTATTTGCAATCTTATCAATTTGACTCTCGACCAGAAACAGTTCTGGAAGCTTCTTACCCTGTTACTAAATATACATGATTGTACAGCCTAGTTGATGACTTTGTTGGAAAGGGAATTCTCTTCGGTGCAACCATCTTTTTAATTTTTCATATGATGTGTATATATTCTGTGATTAGTTGAGAAGAACCAACGAAACATAGTAAATTCCTTCTATCCTGCTCAATTTGTCCTTCTTGCTTTATTCAAATGTAACAAGAAAAATAATTGTATGAAGTTTGCAAGATTTTCGTTATTTACAGTTATACCTTAAGTGAAAAAGCAACACAATTTAATGTGTGTAACCTCATTAAACACCTCGCTGCATCATCTACAGTAACTTTCCTCTTCAACTTTGTGTCCATGTATTAAAAACCTGTACTAATACAAAATTTTCAATAATTTGAAGTAGATTAAGTGATTTTTCATAGTTTAAACAACATGATGGTGTTAACTGTTTGTACACTTCTAACACAGGTTGAATTCCGTTTAATAAATACTATGTTGAGTAGTAATTCATTGACTAAAGTGTTTGACTTTCAAGCAATCAGTCCTTCGTTCAAGCCTCACTTTACTACTTTGACATGTAAATCTCGAGTATCCTAAGCTGTTGCACCTCAAGTGTAATTCGTATCACACTGCACCAGTTTCTGTCTTTGGGTATTGTGCATGATTATTTACACTAAGTTACATATCATTACACAGCCGACGCTAAAATGGTGACAGCAAATGGTTATTAAGTTCAATAAGTGCGCGATGCATAAGAAGTGGTTGTTTATGAAGTGATAATATTCCAGAAGTACACTGTAAGTCTCAGAATTGAGTTCCTATTGTAAAAAGAACAGGAATTTTGATCATGTAGTCGTAAAAGCCTTAGGACTATTGATACAAAAAACACCTTGTCTACTTTAAGAGTAAGGACCAAAAAGTCTATAATAACGAGCCTTTACAGCCTTTATATTAGATTCAAGCAATAATTTGAAAGCAGCCATGTATTTTTCAGGTAAGCCGGGAACGACCGGGTACAAAATCATTCAGATAGTAAAATCAGTAAACAAATAGTGGGAAGAAAAGAAAGGAACATAATGGTAGACAGTTTGGCATCAGTTGAGGTTTAAAATGACCACCGTCAAGCATTTTTATCACTGTCAAGGGCTTTAGCAAACCAATTGATTTCCTGCTATTAACTGATATTGGCAACCATAGTATGATGTAGGTCCAGTAAATGGCGTTATTAAACTTCTTGGAACTGTATAATGAGCGCACGATAACCATTTAGGACATGTTCCAAAGTACACGGATATCTTTCCGTACACTCAATGTATATGATTACACTAACACATGCAGATTAGTGTATGGGGTTTGGTTTAATGAATTCAACTGATTTCATTAAATATTCATTTTCCACATTAGCTGCATATTTTAAATTCAACACGGAGACAAAATATTGTGCATTCGCAGCATAACTAAGTCGCATTACAGACTTCCAAATCAATTGTCATAAAGCATATTGGTTTTCTTTAAAACCACTGTCTTTAACTTCCAGTTCTATGATTCTAAACTTTCAAGTCCTCCAGTATCTAGAGTCCCTAATAAAAGTTTTTCCCACAGAGATGAAAATGTGACATATAATACTTGATTCCATTTGGTAATCTTCGATTGAACAGTAAACCTAGTGTCCAGAAGAATCGCATTAGACCTTGGTAACTGTGTGCAGGATTGAAACCAGGTACATTATGTTTGGTTGGAAACAATATTCAGTCATGGGATGGGCCTTGCTGTATGTTTAACATTAAAGAAAGACAAAATCTAAAGTCCAAATACCCCTAGAATGATCGTATGCTGGACCTCGAGTTTGTATGTCTTTTTGTTTTCACAACCATATGAAAAGCAGCTATTTTCTTTTCAGATACCTCAGAAGTAAATTCCTATTATATGCCTTTTAAGATACATCAGTCGTTTTCTTGACATCTGTAGTTTGCTACCTTAATTATTCTTTATCGTCATTTCTACATCTGAAACTTCTGATTTTATGAGTTACAAATGTACCATATATTATTTTTGGTCGTCTAAGAAAGATGCACTTACCAGAAAATTCATTGTGTTCGTAGGTAAATTAAGTCAGTGGTATAGGTAGTGCAACGTGTAGTCGTCTTCATTTGTGTATTATCTTCCATGGACACTTTATGTCAATAAAGCTGCTGAAACTGATAAAAAAGTTCATTACTAAAGCGTTGGATGGGAATTAATAAAACAATAAATGGTGCACCTCTATGTAAATTTAGAAGTCTGCAGACTGTATTCGTCAATCCTCGTGGGTACATCTACCGCAAGCTTTATTTCTCCTGTAAAAGACCCCAGGTTTGTTGTATCGCAGTCTTGAAAATATTGGAAATTAACTTTTTGCAATCATATGATCCGTATTGTTAATTTACAAATTCCAGCAAATTGCAGTACCTCACCAAACTTACCCTTCGAAATTAATTATTCGCATTTAACTGGTTTCACTCTTATACTTATCTAAATTCTATTGATTCTCTTCTCTCATTTTCCTGTCTACCTTTGTGTGCTATTTGGAACGTGGCAACTCGAACTGCTGCACTTGGGTGTCAAGTTCTATGTTGAATCCAGCAGCAGCAGCATTTAACTGGTCTTATCATGCTTTATAATTTCTGTTTCCCTCACTATTTCGTACCATTCTGAATATGTATATATACATGATTTTCGCCAACTAATTTTTTTGCATCCATATGTTGTCGCACTGTTTGGAGGGTCACCATGTAAAGCATTCATTTATTTCAACACAAGCCTGGTAAAAAATGGGCACCAAAAATGCGTCATGTCGTCTGAATAGGATTCGAAAACCACAGATGGGCTCTTTTTTGCTTACATCTGAAATAAGAATTTCCACGAAGCTTATTTAACACTTAGATAAACTTAAATATACGTTAACGTAATTGATAAAATTTTGTTTTTGCCTTTTATTTAGTGCTAATCGTGGACTGGTCACCTAACCTCGTGCACAGTAACCACGTATATGTACAAATGTGTTTGACCAGACTGATCATTATTTTGCTCAGTTTTTTGACCGATATTTCTGTCCAAGAAGCACATGCATCGAATAAACCTTCGACTGATTCCCATGGCCTCCGACATCTACACATTTTGTTTCGACATGGTGACCGGTCTCCTATAACTGACATACCTGCTATCTTACCGAACTTCTCATCCGTGTGGCCACATGGCTTTGGTCAACTTACAGATGAGGGTATTCAGCAGCACTTCATGCTTGGTAGATGGTTGCGGTCAAAGTATAATGGATTCATCCCCGATAAATATAATGGTTCCGATTATTATGTACGTAGCACAGATGTTGACAGAACTCTTATGTCAGCTATGGCTAATTCAGCTGGGTTTTATAACTCATCTCATTCCCCTCTGGCTAATTATGGTGTAAATTGGTCTCCTGTACCTGTGCACACAAAACCTCAAGTAAGTTTGAGTCTGTTTTATATTGGTTTTTAAACAAGGTGCACTACATTGCTGTAGTATGCGTTAAATTTGTTTACTAAATATGCGTTTTAGTTTGCAGTTATGTTTGACAATGGTAGTGATTTTAACTATGATATAAGTTCACTAGTGAACATGGAAAACTACTAAATTCATTGATTCGGAAAAACTTCGTTTGATTATCAGATGCGATGTTTTTTTCACAGTTGTGATCACTAGTGGGTCTGGCATTGGGCTCAGAAACAAGCCAACAGCCTAAAATGCTACTGAATTGAAGAAATAAATTATGAGTGGACGACAGAAACACAAAATGTTTACTATTTCTGTTTTGTAATTTACCACTGTCATTTGTATGATTTTTTACACTTGTTCTCTTCTTGTGCAGCCTTTTTCACTTTACCTGCCACCGAAATATTCAAGTTGTTAGACAATATTCATTGGGTTTCATTATCCGTCTGAATAATAAACTCATTTGAGTTAAAGGGTTAGACAAGCAGAATTTTTTCTCATAGTGGGTCTATATACTGAGTTCTAGTACATTTTAACACTTGTTAGATAATGCGCCTTCTGTAATTTTATTTCGTTGATCCATGGTTTGCTTATTTCCCATCCCACACCTTTAACAAACTGCCCTTATTAATCCACAAATCACAACTATTTTACTATTGTCATCTACTAAACTGTCGCCCTTTAGTTGGTGTGGCTATTAATTGCCAGTGTTGAGATTGTCTGTAGAGCATTGCACAACTACTGCAAATCACTTAACAAGATGTCAGCGTGTACTGATACAGATATCGAAAACTTTTTGATACCTGTTGACATAAATAGTGTATTTATTGACTGTGGTAGTAGTATTAGCAGTAGGATACAGATACACAAACGACGCATTATTTTGCTGCTGATGGTTTGTTGGTTGTAATAAATTCGGTAACTCAAGTGAAATTATTCAACGAACTTCTCGGTCGAAAGTTATTCAACAGTTAGTCACAACATGCATAAAGCCTGTAGTTGTTGATTCGAACTATGTCCAAACGTCTAGACATAATGGTTAAACCCCAGAAAATAACAGAAATTATGTATGCAGTTCAACTTAAAATCGATCATTATGGTGTTCGCGAGTGGCTTTCACTTAGATCTTAAATTTATTCTATTAATTCCAATATTCCCTTATAGATGAGATGAGGAAGAGTTTTAGACCAGACAAATCTATTTGGTTTCTCTTTTAACTGGATGATTTAATTTCTATGCCTTCACTGTCATTCTAAACAACATTTCGGCACGACCTTCAGGGTATTTTCAAGAATTTCATTTATCACCTTTTCCATCATCGAAGTTATTTGGTGCAAGATATTTGAGTCAATTTATATACCGTTATCATTTGGCCATTTAATGTAGTTCTAGCCTACCAACGCTGAACAGATATATACACTAACTTGACCTAAACTCATTGCTTAAAATTTTAAGATATTTTTTTTAATTTACAAGGTGAAGTAATTGTGCGATGACTCTTCATTGGTTGAAAACCAATTACTTAGCTTAAAGGTCTGGTAATTATTGACATAGTATTTCTTAAGTTGCATATTTTTAAATTAATGTAATATAAACATACACTGTGTTACTATTTTTGCTAACATTTTCACAGGTAACTGATGCACTTCTAGGTGTTTCACTGTGTCCTCTTCGGGATAAATTACAACAAGAACAAATGAATAGTTTTTCATCTGTTGAATTTGAAAGTCAACATTCTAAATTGTTTAACAAACTTACCAATGAGTGTAAGATTGGTCAAGTTAACCGTCATAATGTATGGGAAATTTCTGATTTAATTACTTGTATGCTTGCCCATAATCTTACTCTTCCTGAGTGGTGTACGAAAGAATTACTGGATGAATTACACGAAGTCTCTAAATTTTATTGGGTGGTAAGTGGTTGTGCTGATTTGTTTAGTATTTATTATAGAATATGTAACACTTTTGGTTTTTATTTTTTACTCTAAGGAGAAGAAAAAAAGGGTGCATTACTGATCCTTTAACGTACAACATAAGCCATTGTTGCAAAGGCAGAATGATGTGGTTAATTTTTTCCCCTCTTTAATCGTGTTATCTTTATACAGAAGGTAGTAATGCAACATTCTATGGTACTAATAACTGCACGGCTAAGCAATCAATATATTAAATAAAACTGACCATATATGACTCACTTCATCCCTTTTTCCAGACAGTCTAAACTCTAGTAGCAGCCAGTTTTAAGTGACTGTCTAGCCTTATCATAACAGCAACTCAATGACATCTTCACATGATGGCTACTGTGGTAAAATTACGTGTTAAACAAGGTTTTGATTAGGTGTACTTCTAAATAAGGCAAATCAATGACTAAGGTGACCGGAATATATTTTACGCATGCTGAACCATCACCTTCCTCGAATAGTAAGGTCAGCTGAAACAGTCTGAAAAAACTTAATAACAACCAGACAAAACATGGTACTAGACTTCCGAGACATTGATTTTTTTTATCTAGGTCACATTAGGCAATTTAGATTTCCAATCTGTAGTCCATAGGATACTGAGATCTCGTCTAATGGAAGGCAAATAGTAGTCTGACTCAGAATTACTACTCATATGCTACAATTCATATAAGTTTTCCTTACTGAAATCCTTAAGGTATTCACAAATCCAACTGAAAAGTGTAAACTAAGTTTCTTTAACCTTTTTTTAAATTTTTTTCTTGGCTTTATATGTTCTTCGTATACTTTCGCCCTTGTTCATACCATTATTTTTAGTCTTCAATTTACTGTTTCTCTTCCTTGTTACCGCATAGCTAATGAACTTAAATTAATGCACTGCCTTACAAGGTTCCACAGTGTGCTATCTCTATACGAAAAATGATTGGAAAGTGGTTATGAAGAATACATAAATATAAAGTATTCACATCAAACTATGAGCTGATATTACGATTTAATCTAGACAGACTCTAATATGTAACTGTGAATATTTAGAAAATAGTAAATAGAGCAAGAGATTGTATTGCTTCTCACTTAGTTGTTTTATTATCTGTTCTACATCAAAAATACATTCCTGCCGATCTCATTCAACCATCTAACATCAATTCAGAATGCACCGCGATGACGAGCCACCTAACTGATAGAATTCAGCCTGCATCAAGTGACGGTCTAGATGCATGACACTAGTTACCATCTTGTGTTCAATCAAAGTGAAATGTTAGTTAATAAAAATTTATAAATTTCAAGGTATAGATGCAGTGATTGGTAATCAAAACATTAACTAATAAAACGGCTTAATTTTATCATACAGTAAATTTGCGAAATCCAGCCGTAGGTTAGTTTGTAAAACAATCCAAATGATTTTTTTCTTTTGTCCAGTGTTATTTAAGAATAACTGAAGATGAAAAGGTTAAGTTATGTGAAATAGTTGAAACATGATATGACTAATCTCAGTTGTAGTTCTGAGATTTATTTGATCTCTAACTTCACCTGCAGTTTAGAATATACTCATGCATACGATTTTCTGCCAAAAAGTGACTTCAGCGTCGTGTAGACTTTTACTTTTTTAGTAACCAACTAAGTGAAAGGTGTAACTATTTATGAACTAACTGTTTAGTATTTTTGGACATATAATAGTCTTTTCGAGATACGAATAAACTTACTATCCTTATTTACGACTACTTATGCAACTTATAAAACGGTGTATAATAATAGTACAAAACCAAATTTATTGTATATATTATAATTTATCTAATGAAGTTTGACTTCGTTATAATCGTTTAATGTGAGATTTTTTGTTTATAAATGGTTTGTTTTCATTACAGCAAAAGTTCACTTCATCAAGTGATATAATCCGATTAGAGATCGGTGTCTTCTTAGACTCATTTGTCAAGCATATACGTTCAGTCATTTATGGAGGAAATCTAAATATGACTGAAGGACACACCTTGTCAACTAATCACATAATGGTTTATTCAGCGCATGACACCGATGTAACTTATTTATTAGCTGGTTTCGGTGTTTATGACAATCAAACTGTCAATTATGCTTCAACTGTGATTCTAGAATTATATGGTCCAGAGAAATCGAATAAAGAAAGTGACTACCGTCTTAAATTGTTATACAAGAAAGGTTGGACTGATGACAAAGGTGAATATTTAACTTTTCCTGCGTGTAAAGGTCAACCGGGTACTTCTGGTTGTCCTGTGAATCTTGTATTTGAACAGATTAAACCATTGTTAATAGATCGTGAAAGTTTTTACAATTTATGTTCGTTGAATCAACCAGACAATTATTATCGATTGCATCCCGTTTTACTTGTGCTTCTTGGTGCATTGATTTCCGCTGTTGTATTGCTTACATTATTTTGGTATTATACATTCCGCAGACGTCGTTATCACAATCTAGATGTAATGGAACAACCGGTTATGTAGATAAAAAAGTGGTGGAAAACAAACAAAAAATATGATACATTTACAATTTGAAAAAAACAAAAAAAACAGTTAGTAGTGAGGATCTCTCTCTCCCTAATTTTTTGTATCCCTTGTCCTACGATTATTGTCCAGACATCTTGCCTTTATTTAATTAGTTTTGACGTACTCATGTTGTTTTTGTGATGTCTTATTTTTGTATACTAGTACTACTACTACTATTAATACCATCTTTCTAAAGATTCTTTCCAAATTTCGATCTTATTATGTATGCTCAATTATTTTGTTTTATATTATTATTATTGTTGTTGTTATGATTAAAGTTTTATATACATCTAACTGTTGTCTTACATAAAACAATATGCAGCAAACATGTATCTGTTAATTGAAGAAAACTTATTAACTCTTGTGGTTAATTCACGTTTTTACACTGACGACTTGAAAGCTTCCAACAACAGAAAATAAACCTGTATAACATCCTGACTGGATTACATTTAAATTATGGTCATTATGATTGCGAAAAAAAACACCATACCTGATATGATGAACATTTGAACATAATCGTTATTCACAGTCGTTTGGTTACTGGATCTATAAGGTGATAAAGGACTAGTTACTGATGAAACAACATGGCTAAAATAGGCTCTCTTTGTATTTGCTAACTCGTGTCTACTTCGGTTTATACATGATATTCAGCTGCACACCAAAGGATAAATGTACTGTGCAACAGCATGCCCTGTCCTAATTAATAACTGTAAGATATGGCTTCTGGAGATAGAATGATATGAAAAGTTCAGAGTTTTTCGCCATAGTTCTCTTGACTTGCATTGAATGGAGCAAAATAATAAGTAATGCTGAGGTCAGATGAAGAGTATCAGGTAAGAAGAGGAAAGTCAATCAATGACGTCATGAAATTCTATCATAGAAAAAATTAAAGAGACGGTTGCAGTGAAGAAAATTTTCTTCATCGACGAAATCATCTCCAGAGGTTATACAGTCGTATTTATATTTACCAAAAATGTATAGTAGTCCATTACTGAGTTTCCTTTGTGCTGTTCAGATCATCCATATGCTAACTGCATCCGCCTACGCAAAGCCTTTGTTCTCATTTTCTCACCACCAATATAAACATTGACGTCAATTACTTCAATTTTAATAGGAGTGACATAATTGATATGATTACTTAGAAGTGGCTTCAAAAGTAAAAATAAAAGTTATAAATTACGTAATACTCAACGGCACGGTTGGTTCTCTTCAAAGATCCATCTATAGGAAACCAACATGGAATGGTCACTACCTGAATTTTCATAGTTCGGTCCCTTTCAGAAGAAAGAGAAATCTGATCTACTCCTTATCTACAAGGATAAGAAGGATATGTACCAGTGATACAATCGAAGGTGAACTGGAGAGACTCAAACGAGTCCTCATGGAAAGTAGACATCTTTCAATATTCATTTAGAAAAACATGTAAATAAAGCAAAAACCCGAAAGAACCCAGACGGTGCCGAAGGAGCTGATATTAATGAACTTTGAATTGAAAGGTGATACTGCAGCTGAGATTCTATAAAGAACCGCTTATACAGATCACTGAGAAAAGCCTTCTTTTCGGATGAGCTACGGATCAATTTCTACAGCCGACAAATGATCAATAGATGTGTGAAGGATAAACTGCGGCTTTGGGCCACTTCAGTGTGTGTTTATAAATTCACCTGCTGCTGTGGAGCTAGTTATATTGGCCTCACAAAGCGTACACATTCCAAACGCATCTGTGAACATTATCCGAGATGTTCGGCAAAAGGACAATGCAAGACAGTTACTAGCTCAATTCTCGAGCACTTGGTGAACACAAGTGACTCAGCTCCACTAGAGTTGTCTTTCAAGATTGTCTACAAGGTGACGCCAAATTGTCCAAAGAGCGTCAGGTTTTTGCATTTGTGTATGGCGGAGGCGTTGGAAATTCATCAATATAACCCTGAACTTTGTATACGGAAAACGTTTGTCCAGTCTCTTATTCTACCATGGTCTTAACCTCTTCATTAGTCATTCCCTGTAAATTTTTAGTTTTTTTTAATGGTTATTTTGCTTTTACTTTAATAATTAATTCACTGTTGTCACTCTCACATGTTCCATTTGTACATTTTTTCGCCTTCTTCACACTTGTTAAATGGACACTCAACTACCTTTCTTCTCATTCAATAACAATTTTAACTTTATCAAATTTTTAACTCTTTCTTCCTTTGTGCCATTGAGTATTATGTAATTTATAACTTTAGTTTTTACTTTTGAAGCCACTGCTAAGTAATTATATCAATTATGTCACCCCTATTACTCAATAATGGACTACTATACATTCTTGGTAAATGTAAATACGACTGTATAGCCTCTGGAGATGATTTCGTCGATAAAGGAAATTTTCTTCACTGAATACAAATAGGACTTTAAAAAATAATAAAATAAACAGAATGTTCGGATGAGAAATATAATCGGATAATAATCACTGAAAGAATTGTCTGTTTATGATGACGAAGATAACGACAAAGGTTGGGTGTACTTCTTTTGAATAAATATCGTTGGTTGAATATTTGGATGGCTAGTGCTTCAGCTATGTCCAGATGTTTTGTCCTCTCTCTCTTTGAGAGTTTTGGCTGGATCTTGTATAGGACTTTGGAAAGTCCTCCAAAGTATGCCCAGCATTTGCTTTTATCATGGCAATCATAAACAGTCAATTCTCTCAGTAATTTTTATCCAACTATGTTTTTTATCCGAACATCCTGTTCATTTCATTACCTATTACTTTTTAAGTTCCTATTTGTATTCTTTTTATTCATTATAATTTGACCATTGACCGGGAATAGTTTGGGAACTTTCTCACTTTTTTTTTACTAAATATACATGAATGTACAGTCTAATTGATGACTTTGTCGTCGAAAAGACAATTTTCTTCGCCGCAACCGTCTTTTTAATTTTTCCTATGATCTAATTTGTATATTCTGCAAATCAAATTTCTATCAATCAGGATAGCTGAGGCATGTGTTAAACATGCCTAACCATCGCTTTCCGCAACGATTGATGTTATCTGAAGTAAGAGTGGGTGGGACAGTCATGTGAAGAAAGATACCAATTCATGACATCACTGACATCTGGTCTAAGCCACTTAGAGAGTTGTGTTGTCTAGATGGAATTCAACGAACTCTAAAAGTCAATATTTGATTCAATTAAGATTTTCCCGTCGATTGATTGGACCGAAGTGCTCGGTCTCAGGTTGACATGTTGGTCATGTAACCTGAATTCAATTGCTTGATGGTGACTAGTGGATAACGCTTTGGTGTTTGAAACTATGGGCACTGGTTCGAGCCTGGGTGGAAACACCATCACTCACTGGGGAGTGCAGGTACATCCAGATGGCGAGTCTCAAATAGGATGGAATGCGCATCCTGGATTCCACCGCTAGTCACCATCAACCAACTGACATCATATCTAAAAGTCAATAGTTGGAGACTGTTGTTGATATTGTTCAAAATCGATTACGACCGTACAGATGTATTCACAGCTATTCAAAGTTCTAAATCATTACGTTGATCAGTCACTTATAACCTAATTTGTTAAAAACTATAAACTTTATATATCCTTGTAACTTGACTGTACTGTGTAGGGTAAAAAAATTAGTGCGTTAAAAACTAGGATATTAATTAACATTACAGTACATTTACTTAGTGTTGCTATCTTATTTTCTGGATGCAATTAGAGCTGAAGATGATGTTTAGATTGACATCGACTGATCAGACGACAGATATTAAATGTCTCAAAAAAGAAAGAAAATATCCAGATCCCTGAATATCTGAGATGTGAATATTTACCTTTGTATCATTAGTTCTGTAGAATGCCCAATGCACTTTGTTAGGCTTTTTTCAGTCACCAAGTCGTAAGTTTACACTGGCTGGCTGGCTGGCTGGATTCAACATAGAACTTGGCACCGAAGTGCAGCAGTTCGAGTTGCCACGTTCCAAATAGCACACAAAGGCAGACAAAAAGATGAGTGAAGAGAATCAATAGTTTTGACAAGTATAAGAGTGAAACAGAATGAGTAATGGTAGAAAGGAATATGAAAGATTACAGAGACTGAATACATCTGCGTAAGCCATTGACAACGATTTTGAGCCATGTCACCTATTGTCTCCAGCCATTGATTCTTAGAGTCCCGAGGGCCCCAACCCGGAAGTCTGCATCTCCCTACCTGACTCAGTTTAACTGTCAAGGATTTCATGGATTGATGCCATGTTTTTGTTTGGCCACCACTTACTCTTTTCCAACCTGCACCTATATCAGCTAGTAATGCCCGTCGGGGGAGGCGATGGTTAGGCATGCGCAACACGTGACTTAGCCATCTCAATCTATGTAACTTTATAGCCTCTTCGATTGATTTTCCCTCTTTGCCCAACACTCTACGCCTAACGTCAACATTACTTACCTTATTATGCCACCTAACGTGAGAAAGAGATCGTAGACATCTATGATCAAAAAAGTTTACACCGGTCAGAAGTAATCAAGAAACAGAAACAAATTATTCTTCCATCTGTTTGTGTTATATAATTTGATGTATGATAACTACGTCCTAAGGTTCCCGTTACGTTCTTCATATTTGTTTATCTATCTTATTGACTTACAATATCTTTAGTTACCCTGTTGAATATATGCTAAAAGTAAACAAAAGTTTTTATATCAGGAAGTTGTGTTCACTATTCTATAGTGAGTGAATGTGTTAATAATTTACTTTGAAATAATACAGTCATGTTTCTGTTTACATTCCTATTATGACTGTAAACAGTTTAAAAATAGTAAGTAGTTAATTACTTTCATTTTCGCCAATGAATTGATTAAGTAAACAATTATTATTTACTTGTTTTGCTAAAGTCCTCAGGTTTGATATACTTCTAATTGCGAATATACCACATTTGTTTAGATAAACTATATTATTATTATTACCATTGATCAATAGTTGATAATGATATCTTCTTCGTTTGTTTGTTTGTCTTTCTGTTTACAATTTTGAATGTGTATTCAAGTTCAGTTTACTACTTAAACATGTGAACAATGAATTTACTCTTTCCAAGTTCTACCGTTATTGAACTAAATTCATCACCATTATAGTCACCGCTGTAGCCAAAATATAGAAAAAAAAATATACTGTTTAATTGACGTATAAATTTTAATTTGATTTGAATGTAAATCTAACAGGCGCGTTAGACGAATGATAAAATTCATCACAGAAAAGGTATTGCGATATGAGATACGGAGAATAAGTAATGAAAGCAACAATAAATGTCAAGGTTACTATGCTGTTTAACAGACAGACCGACAAACCAAACAAATTA